CTTGCACCATGAGCAAAATCTTTGCTGTTATCTGAGTAATTATTTCTGATTTCATTTTTCCCAGATCCTCTTTTGTTGCCAATTCAGAGAGTCCACGTGGTTAAGTATCAGATTGTTCCATCTCGTTTCCCTTTGGGGTTGCTGTATGTGATCCAGAAGTCTGTTTTTGAGGCTTGTTTACATGTCTTCTCATTTCCACAAGAGGGCGTGCTTCTGGTGCCCACGCGGCTCACCTTCTCTGCCCTAGGAGCTTGGGATGGCAGCAGGGGAGCTTCCTTCCGGGATCTGGGACCGGCTGAGCTTCTCTGCCCTAGGAGCCTGGGATGGAGGCGGGGAGCTTCCTTCCGGGTGCTGGGACCAGCTGAGCTTCTCTGCCCTCACCCACTGTTTTCTTTCTTTCCTTTCTCTCTTCCCCCACCCCTCTCAGTCTCATATATGTAAATATGCATAAAATGTATACATGTATTAGGCTGGATCCTAAGAAACTGCTAATTGTCAACCGTCTTTGACCTATAAAAACAGCAACTGCTTATGGTAACCTAATGTGTACTGATAAATAGCCCTTTATAACAGTAGAATGAGAGAAGAAATAAAGAAGCTGAGCATCGTGGTACATGCCTGTAATTCCAACACTTTGGGAGGCTGCGAGAGGATTGCAAGTTCAGGCCAAACTTAGGCAACTTAGCAAGATCTGCCTCGAAATCTAAAAAGGGCTAGAGATGTAGCTCAGTGAGAAGACACCTAGCTCAATCCGCAGCACTGTTAAAAAATAACCATTCTTGGCCGGGGATTTACCTCAGTGGTTCCACCGCTTGCCTCACAAGCATAAGGACCCAAGTTCGATTCCCGGTACCAAAAAAAAGAAAAAACAACCATTCTATAAGAAAGTGACTCTTAAACACACTCAGGTAGAACTCCTGGAAGCCACAGTGGTCTTTTTGGAGATTGTCTCCAAATAGTAACACATTTAATTTTATTATGCAAGGTTGGAACAATTTTGTTAGCAGAAAATGACATTATAAATATAGAATATGAATGTCACTGTTGTAATCCCTACTACTCGAGAGGCTAAGACAGGAAGATTGTAACATCAAGGCCAACCTGGTCAACTTAATGTCTCCAATTAAAACATAAAAAGGGCTTGCCGGGAGTTTGGCTCAGTGGTTCCGCTGCCTGCCTTGCAGGCACAGGGTCTTGAGTTCAATCCCCAGTACCAAAAAAAAAAAAAAGGGGGTAGAGAGCGGGAGATACAGCTTAGTGGTAGAATGACCCTGGTTTCAATCCCTAGAACTGGAAAAAAAGGGGAGGATTCATACACAGGGATTATTCAATAAGTACCTGTGAAATGAATACATGTATCTATAAAAATATAAACACTAAAATAATTATAGTTGCATATTTCCCAGTTTTTTATTAATATGAGCTATGATGAAAATACATGGTGACTATATAAATTAAAAAATTTATTATAGTAAAAAAATATTGCTGTTAATCCCCCTCAGAATACTACCCCTCGCTTAGAACACACTTATCTCATCGTTCTTGCCACTTTCTGAAGCAGTTCTGGAAGTCTTCTTTGATGAGTGTCTTTATAAGGTATGATCAAAACTACCACGAATACTGTTGCCTAGTACCATCCAATGGAAAAGCAGGCTCATAAAGACGTTATGGTGTGCCCTCATTGACCTTATTTACTAGATATAGCATCATGCAACTTCTGGTCTTCCCCAAAGTCAAAATGACCATGAAAATATGTTCTGAATTGATTCAGGACATTAAGTCAACCATGATAATACAACTAAGACATTCATGAAAGAGGACTTCCAGAATTGCTTCAAAAAGTTGCAAGAGACCACAGCCAACATTTTCACCACTGCTAATGCCATTACCAGCACCTCTGCTACTGCCTCTGTGGGACCCTCTGCCTCCTCAGTGTAATCCAGGCCCTCTGTCCCAGAAAAGCCATACTGGGTTTCTCTCCTGTCCTCTGGGGACAGGCACAGGCAGGTGATGGAGGCAGGGGAATGGTATGGTGGGCAGTGGAAGAGCAGGCCAGACCTTGGTGGAGAGGACTGGTGGGGGCTGTGGCCCTGTCAACCAAGCCTTGTTGCTTCCCAGTGATATGCAGCACAAAGCTCTCATAATGGAGAAGCTCAACAGCCAGGGCCTGTTTGACAGCATCTACTGGGACTCTGGCTGATGTGGAAAACAAGCCATATTACTAAAACCTGAAGCAGAATGGATAATTCTGTTAACACATCTGGACATGCAGGAATGGAATAACAAGAACCAATTCCAAAATGGTCTGAGGCAGAGTGTGGTTCAGTCAGGGATGCTCAAGTAGGAGGGAACAGGATTATTTCTCAGGTGGTGGATCCAAAACTAAACCACATCTTCAGACACAGAATAAGCAATTCATGAGGTCTTAGGAGCCCAGAAAAAAGAAGCTGTGCTGGTGCCCTCTCCAGAGCTAAAAGCCAGGACTCTCCAGCTGTATCCCAGGATACTTCCTAAGAACAGGCCTGATGCCTTTTGAGAGCTCCATTTAGTTAATGAATTCCTGTTTCACAGAGTACCACTTCAGTTGGCCAGGATCGCCACTGATTGTAAGATTTCTACCTTGACTTTGGGACAGTGGCAGATTTAATAGGGAGCAAGTTTGGCAGTGAAAGAATTGCCCTGGATTGTGTTACCACTTGGCCAGCCTTTTGAAGGGTGTCACACACAGTAGACGGTATGGTATAAACCATACAGCAACCTGGGGTAGGCCTGAAACAAACTTTTATATTTGAACACAGAGACTGCACGTGGGTTAAAGAGTTTGTGATCTGGGATAAACAGAAGCTATAATGAAAGAACATAATCAGTTCCAAAGGTAGCTTCAAAGAATAAGGACAGAGTTAGTTGGGAGTAGGTACTGTATTTGACAGTGCTTACTTGGTATTCTGTATCAGAGTTACAAACTAGAAGGTACAAGCCATTAGGATCAGGTAGCCTTAAAGTTGTTGTGAATTTCTTGTACATGAATCTTCTAGACAGTTTCCTCTCCTTTGTCAGAGGTGACAAAACATGGAGCCCTAGAGTAAATGAGGAAGCTCAGACATTAGGTATAAGGAAAATCATTTACAGGTTCTCTATCCAGGGCATCTTTCTGTCCTGCAAGGACTAGTGAGAATTAGGTGACGTTCTGTTCTCATGTTTGTGGTTTTTAGAAAAGTGAATGATAAATAAATGGTATAAACGTCATAATAAAGTTATTTGATACTCAAAAAAAGCAAGTGGCAAAAATGATAGGGTAACTGTGTTCAAGGCAAAGGGGAGTATTTTGAGGCTAGAAAAGTGAATGATCAATAAATACCATGTTTTATAATAAAATCATTTGGTACTTAAACAGAGAAGAAAGTGGCAAGAATGATGGGTATGTGTGTTCAAAGGAAGTATTTTGAGAGGGATTAATGGCAATGTGTCTCTGTCATAATTTTTTAATAAATTTAAACATTCACCATATTTTTTGACATACCATGTACACATTTGCCATGTTCATCCATTTTATCATTTGCTACAAGTGGAAACAGTTCAGGAAAACTGTATGTGACAAAATCTTAAAAGCAGAAAATTCTATGCGTTACTTTCAATTAAATAATAAAATACCTCAAAGTCCAAGTCCAAAAGAATCAGAAAACCACTGCTACAGTATCACTTTGGAATTGTATATTACTGCAATAGAACAGTACTTCCCACTGATTCTAGGCAAGGCAGGTTTTATTTATTTACTTATTTTTACCTTGAAATAAATGGTTGATGTAAAGAAGAGCTGTGCTAGATGGTCAAAAAGTAGTGGCTTCACCTCTAGGAATTAAAAATAAAAATTATTCAAAATGCTTTTATTTTATATTACATGACATGAAATGACTCCAGGTCTTCAATGATACATACCAGAGAAGCTACTAAAAGGAATCCAGCTCACAAGCTGAAGGAACTGTGACCGACAACAAAGGCCATCCCAGAGAGGAATGCTCTTATACAGGAAAGCTTCACAGGAATAAAACCCCTCCTGAAACACAAGTTGACAGCAAAACATTACATGGAACTCTTCAGTCATGATTCTTCTCTAGACAATCGGTTTATTTTGTGCTATTAGCTGTTTTACTCTAAGAACAATTTTTGTCACTGATATAACTTCTTTTTTTTTTTTTTTTGTACCGGGGATCGAACTCAGGTCCTTGCGTTTGTGCGGTAGGCACCGAAACCACTGAGCTAAATCCCCAGCCCCATTGATATAACTTAGCCTTGTTTTAGGTGCCAGACTTTCTCATTGAAAAAGACGAGATAATTAGTATTTAGATACATCACCACCTTTATCAATATAGATTTCAGATATCATGGAACATCACCAGTGGCAAAGAAGGTAAAAAGCCAAATAATGGAATATTTTTAAAGATAAATGAAATCTATTATTTTGGAGTACGTACAGTAACTTGAACATTCAGTAAAACATGTATAGTATTATATAAAAGGGACAGAATTTCGTTAAGAGGCCATAGGGCAAATCCAAACTGAGCAACTTCATCTGGAGAGGCCCAAGTGTTTAGGTTTCTTATGCTTCCACCAGAGTAAGGACTCAGAAATTTCCTTCATCTCTTTCAGCTTAAAATACTGATATGTACCAAGATTCTATCTCAGACTTTCTTTCATAACAAAAATTCTCTGGACAATCTCCTTCACATTAGAACTAAAGCCACTACTTTTATGTTTTGGGTGGAAAATATAGTGAGTCACAAGCAATGGATATCAACGAGTTCTTACTTGCATGTTGAGTACCAAATAAACTATGAGTAGGAGGACAAAATTTTTACACCAAAATGTGTTGAAAACCAAATTCAACTAGTTTCGAAGCAAATGAGTACCAAGGAAAGACTGTATTTCTTTTCTCAAAGAATGCCATCTAGCCTTTTAAGCAGGAAACCTGAAAATCAAACTGGAATGCTCCCTTATCTTCTCTACCATCCTATTCCAATTAAATGGCTTCATACCAAACCTCTATTCAACAAACAAAACATCAATTGAACATTTCTTTTGTACTAGGTACCAACAAGTTAAGCATTTGTACATGAAGAAAAGTTAAGACATATTTTCTGTCTTCTGGGAGCTCATAATGTGTGGGGAAAAATGGATGCTGAAAGTGCCATGACAAGGCTAAGGACAGGAAGCAATGGCAACACACAGAACAATGAGCTAGTCCAGATGGGGGTGATGCATGGAGGCTTCTTGATGGCACTGATACTTGAATGACAGCCTAAAGTACAACTCAGTGTTACCCAGGGCAAACAGTCCACTTGCTGGAAAATATCGGACATTCAAAAAATGTTCATTGCTACTAAGAACACAAGTAGTGACTTCATGTGATTGATGTTACTGACTTAATTAATTGAATGCCTTCAATTAGATTTTCAGTTTGTTCTCCTAAATTATAGGTCTTTCCTTTTTAACTACATAATTTAAAATATTCTTTCTTCAAATCCAATGATGTACAGATGAATATCACTCCAACTAAGTTCTATTTAAAATGAGTTTCAAATTGAGCAAATACTGTTTAAAAAAGATGTCAGGTACTAACGAAAAGGCTTTTGATAAACATCTAAATAAATTTTGTTAAAAAGTGAAAAGTGGTGGAGTGTGTAGGAAGCAAATGGAATCTTACTTGTAAGAAGCACTCTGCCCTGATGACGGTGTCCAGGAAGTTGGTAAATTCTTTTCCATGTTCATAATCATTCACCTTATACCAAATACATTCTACAGCAGAAACAGTAAATGTAAAAATCTGGTTGTACAATAAAAACTGTGCAAAATATGATTATCACTACTCTGAAGTGACAAATGGTAAATTTAAAAATCTGTAGGTTTCATACATAATAGCCAGCTCCACAGAAATGTGGAGGTGATAGCAAGATACACCTCAAGAATATGGGAATGCAGAGGAAAGTTTATAGTGAAAAAAACTAGTAAAATACACATATATTGAATGTGATCCTCTTTATTTCACATAGTAATCTAAGAGATGATAAATGCATTAATGAAAAGCTTGAGACTTCCCTAAAGTTCAGTTAGGGTGAGTAGGGCATCATCTACAAGTACTAAGAATTTACTAAATGGAAATCCAATGAACTGTACATCATGTCCTCTCTGAAGAAAAGACTTGCAGAAGAAGGAGAATTAGTCTGGAACTGACTTAAAACACCTGAAGAGTTAGAAGTTGCTTATCCAATAAGGAAATGCTCAATTTGGTCAATAGAAATGCTATCTCTAGAAAAATATACCACCTTGGAGGAATGAAATCATCATCCTTTACTATGGCATGGATGAAAGACTTCTCACTGCCCTTTCCTTTAATTCTGTACATGAAAAATTTTCTAATAACAAATTTGTCTCCCATATATTCTGATAACAGAGAGGAAATATTCCAGTTGGCAAACATGAACATTTTAGTCAGGAGAAAAAGTCACTTCTATTATAAAATAATGTTGACATACTGACTTATACATGAATCTCTTCTGAATTTGGTTAGCATTAACCCAATGATGTTTGCAGATGGCAAGTTTCTGGGTATAGAAGAAAGAAGAGGCCTTGCACCAGAGTAGAGTCATTCAGCAAGTTTGGGTAGCTATTCAGCAGTGCTATCTTAACAACACCCCTCCTTTCTTACTGCCTTAAAATTATAACAGAAGCATTCACACTATAAATATATAACAACAGAGAAATAATTATGGCATAAGAAGACTCGTTTTGAATTTGGCAATCTCATAAAAGAACCCATTTGTAAACTGTCTTGTTCTATTCACATTTATCCAATGTTTTTAAGTGTTAATTCTTACCTTCTTGTAATATTTGACTCAACCAGTGGTAAAGCCTCAGTAAGAGTGACTCATCTCTGACACAGTTAATATAGTGAAGTAGCAGAGAGTTGTTGAGCACCGAGCCCATCTGAGAGGGCAGCTGTAAAGATGGAACAATCACTCAATAGTAAGTATACACGAAAGTGGGTCATGGCACACAGGAAATCATCATATACGAAATATATGACAAAAGTAAAAGTCATGAAGAAAATGCATATAAGTACATGCTCCAGGCACATACCTCCAAGCAATGAATGTTTTTTAAGAGCAGTGGGAAGCTCTGAAGCTGTTCCAGTGGAAGTGATCTATTGCAACTGAGATGATCAGAAAGACTCATTTCCTTTTTTCCCTGTCCTTTAGCGTAGTTACCAGAATTTAGCCTTGGTATAACTGAGTGAGAATTCCATTTCTAAAGAAGAAATAGGACAATATATCAATGAGTTAAACAGACTACAAACTATAAATACAAAAGTAGTTGCTGCCAGGAGCAGTAACACATGCCTATAACCCCAGCTACATGAGAGGCTGAGAGAAAAGGATCACAAATTCAAGGCCAGCCTGGGAAACTTAGTGAGACTCTGTTTCAAAATAAAATGTAAAAACAGCAGGGATGTAGTTCAGTGATAGAGCACTTGACAAGGAAACAAGAGGCTCTGGGTTCAATCTCCATTACTGCAAACAACAAACAACAACAAATAATTGTTAAGGCATTTCAATTAATGGACTCTGAATAGGGTTTGGATAGGATCCTGGGAAATTAAAATATATTTAAATATCTAAAGACTTCACCAACATCTGAATGGTTATTATTTAAATTTAACAAAAGAAAGCCACACAAGTCATTTGGGGGCTTTAGACACTTACTCTTTTTAGAGGATGTAAGTCAGCTGGACTTAATGTCAGTTTTAGAGGCTCAGAAAAAGGTCCGTGGTTTCTAAGTCTCACAGCAAGCACAGCTGAATCCCAAAGATCCTTTGAATTCTTAAAGTAGATCTATAAATTTGAGCATAAAGTATAAGAAAGTAAGTATCCATAAATTGGAGCAACATAAATTAAAAGTCTTTATTACTTGAAGGTATATTCATTATGAAATCATTTATACCCATATAAATAATTTACTGTAGCTAATTCCTAATTAGAAATCAATTAAATACACCAAATAAAATTAACACAAAGTGTGAACCCCTATTAACACTTCCCCAGGGTTATAACACTACATCTTTAAAGAGTAGGCTGTAAATATTTTAGTATTAATCTGTAAATTAACTTTATCAAATGTAATATATTTCAATCTCAATATAACCTATCTCTCCATAATTCCTTACCTTCTTCCTTATAGGCAAAGATACAGAAATCAAAGTAGGAGCAAAAAACTTATACAGCGACAACAAAGCCTGGAGATGAGGTTGCATTCCCTGAAATAAAGTAGAATTTTTCATTTTTGATTATGTGGCCAGTAAGAAACTAAGGAAACAAATACCAAGAAGAAAAAAATAACAATAAACAGACTAAACATATATTCAGACTATTCGCACTGGCAGCATACTCAAGACTCAAAGTTTACTTGTCCTTGATTTAAACATCAAGAAAGTAGGCCTCAAAGGGAAGCCAAGAAAACAGAGCAGAGGAAATATTAATATAATGCCTGATAATCATAAATCCTGGAAAATCAACTAGGAATCTTAAAATAGGTATGCAACAGTCAACCAGCTTGATATAACTAAACAAGTCTTAATGAAAATAGTAGTTTCAAAATGAAATGTTATTTCTAGATATGTGTTTGCTATGGCTGACTATCCAGAGAAAGCATACTGCTAAAGTGAATTCCAAAAAAGTAATCACATTGTTTTATTGGATTAAAATTTTGTTGACTTTAATACTGTACAAAGTAAGGCAGAAAATGGTGCTTACAAATACAGTACAGTATGCATTGCTTAACAACAGGGGTTTTATGAGAAATGCACTGTTAGATGACCTCACCATTGTGTAAACTTTATATAGAATATGCTTATACAAACCTAGATGTATATCCTACTATGCATGTGGGCTATATATGTATTATCCATTACATGACTGTATTCCTATTTTATAACAGCTTCTTACATTTTTAATATATTTTTATTTTTGTTAACACATTATACACATTGAGTTTAGTGTGACACTTCCATACACACATACACTTTACATTAATCAAATCCAATCTCCCTTTATCCACTCCTTGCCATACCTTTCCTAACCTTTATCACTCAGTATCCTATATTCAGTTTACATTTTTTAACTTCCACATATGAAAATATGTGGTAGTTGTCCTTCTGTGTATTACTTACTTAACACAATATTCTCTAGTTTCATCAATTTTGCTGCAAATGACAGCATTACATTTTGCTTCATGGCTTAGTATTCCACTGTGTGTATATACCATATTTTCTTTATCCATTCATCCACTGATAGGCACCAAAGTGGATTTCATGTCTTAACTTATATTATGGTGCCACAATAAACATGGGTGTGCAGTCATCTCCTTAGTATGCTGATTTCATTTCCTTTGGATATACTGCATACCCATAAGTGGGATAGCTGGATCATATGGTAGTTCTACATTTAGTTTTTTGAAGAACTTCCATATTGTTTTCTATAATGGCTATACTAATTTACATTCTCACCATCAGCATAAAATAGTTTCTTTTTTTACAAATCTTCATGAGTGTTTGTTATTTTTAGGGTTTTTTGATAATATTTTAACTGGTATAAGATGGCACTTCACTGTAGCTTTGATTTCCATTTTCCTGATAGCTAATGATATTGAGCATTTTTAATATATACTTGTTGGTCATTTGTAACTGAAACTAAATTTATTAAAATAAAACCAAAATGACAGTTACTATGTTGAAAATATCTGCTGAGTTAGGTCTCCAAAGAAGCTGAGGACTGCAACCAGAGAAAATGAGAGCTAGCAACACACAAAAAAGGCAATCCTTCCTCCCATCATCCTCCCAAACACGAAACACTATATCCTTGCCACATTTTACCCACCACCAATCAATCAGTGTCAGCAAGGAAAGCCCCTAGACCTGGGGAGAGAGGGCAGAACACCACAAACCGTGGGTGGTGCCAAGCCCACTGCCAGGGAGCCACAGATGGCATTCCTGGAAACACTGCAGAAGGGGAGAGACTCAGTGAAGCCAGGCCAGAGTGGACACTTTTCTACTGTTTCCTCCAACACTGGAAAGAGCTGGGACAGTGAAATCCTGCCCACTGTCCCATGTGGGCAAAGGAGACCGTCTGCTAAGCCTTGGGACTGCACCCAGTTACATGTGTTGGCAAGCAGAATTCTTGAGACAGGGACCAGGGACAGATACACCTTAGGGTGAAGGAACAGAAAGAGTTGCCTGGGGCAGAGGCCTTCTGGTGATAGAGGAAGACTGAAGATTTGCCCCACAGCTTGGGGAGAAATGGGAGAGTAGGTGTTGGGCAAACTAATCACATCCTCTTCTTCCCAAATTAATGGAGGCGGTCAAATCTGGGGAAAGAGACAAAAGTCTACAGTTGGCCACACCCCCAAACACAGCTTGAAGCTAGGAGGTGGGTCCAGACAGACTGACAACCCTCACATAGGCAGGCAGTTAAGCACGTCACAGAGAAGAAATCAGCCTGGCTGCCAGAAATCTGACTATGACTAAAGCATGAAGGGAATTGTTTGGACACTGTCTATATGTGACTGAGTCCAGTCCAATTGAATTGAACAGACTGAAGTGGCAGACAACACTTCTTGACAAATAAAGCCAAGATCACATCACTGGGAACCAGAACCTAATTTAACACATCTTAATATCAACAAATTAAAGTCTCTTCACTCTATTTGACCTCAAACTTTAGCACAAATACAATAAAGGCAACAAAATTCCTTTAGAGACTCCCAACTCTCCCAAAGCAGATCCAAAGGGCACCAATTGAGGAAATCAAACACACAGTAGCTGAGCTGTACAAAATGTTAAAAGAGAAAGCAAAGAAACTCGGCAAACTCGTGGTTGATGTAACTAGACAGATAAGTGGAATTAACAAGCAAATTGACCAATGTGGCTAAACAGAAGTCAAACAAAACTAGAAGAGCTTATCAAAACCATCTAAAACATGAATAACAAATTTCCAAAGAAACAGAATCCATGAAAAGGTGCCACACAGAAATCCTGGAGATAAAAAATTCTACTGAAAATATGAACACCAGAAATGACCAATGTAAGGAGAAAGCATCAGAACTCGAGGACAGATAAGAAGCAGAACATGATCTATTCAGAAAAACCTTAAAAGGAACAAGATAGTAAGGAAATTGATCCAACAGCTACTAGATGACACTAAGAAGACTAATCAAGACTAATTGGAGTTAGTGAAAAATTAGAGGGTAGCACTTATGGATTAAAAAAAAAAAATCTCTTTTCAGACATAATAGGAGAAAATGTTCCAAGTATGGGGAAAGAATTCAACATACAGATAAGGAAGACATATAGAATTCCAAAAAATTACAAGGACAAAAGTAGCTCGCTATGACACATCATAGTCAAAATCCCACAAGTCCAACACAAGGACAAAATCTTAAAAGCTATGAGAGAAAAGCAACAAATCACTTATAAAGGAAAACCCTTGAGGATTACAGCAGATTTTAAAACTTAAACATTAATAGCCTGGAGAGCTTGAAGTGTTTAAAGCCTCAAAAGAAAACAACTTTCAACCCAGACTAATATACCTTGTAAGACTCTTTGAAAACTGATGGAGATAAAGGATAATCTACGACAAAGAACACCTTAAGAAATTCATGACAACCAAACCAGCACTCCAAAATATTCTCAAGGATATCCTAGACAGAGACAATGGTGTCAAGGATGCAAAAAAGACAGATGAAATAAATACATTAAGCAGGATAAGCAGTTAAACAAAAATGGAAAAATCAAGGAATCAAAACCAGGAAAATAGTGCAATGATAATAATAAGACAGCAACGTTCAGAAATAGCTCTCAATATATATGGTCTCAACTCCCTAATTAAAAGACACTGATTGGCAGATTGAATTTAAAAAAAATAAAACCCAGAGCCTCCAGCTTGGCTTTGAAGTCAGAACAGTCCCAGGTGGCTGCGCCCTGCTCCAACTGGCTTGCCCCACCCACTTGCATCCACTAGACTGTGAGATACCCCCTGGGCACCCCCACCAGCCACACTAGGAGCCCCACCTGAGCACGGCCAGAGCCCCACCTGCGCCTGCAACAAGAGACTCCCCCCACGCCTCTGGCCTCTCGGCTGTGCAGCTACCTGGTTCCACACTACAGAGGCACGGGGGACATAAAGGCCATTGTCCTGAGCTGCAGAAATGAACAACAGAGAGAGGGCCTGTCTCAGGCTCCCTGATGAAAACTGAAGCCCACTGGAAAAGTGAAAAGAATCTCTGCCATAAAGGCACACCAGACCACCATACTTGGTAAGCTGGAGGGATTATCACCTCCCATTTGAAGCTGGACTATCCTCCGGGGAAAGGCAGCTCTAACCCGTAATAGAATCTTGCAGGGTTTAACCCTGCAGGAGGACTTGGAGCTCAACTTAGGACTTGCAAACAGAAATCTGCCTGAATCTCATGGGTCTGTGACTTGCTTACTAAGACTCATTGACTTAAAACTGCACACTGCTGCCCACATTGTCTATTGTGACAGCAGAAATATACCCTGAAGGAGGCCATTCATTTTTATCTTTTATTTGTTATTTTCAAAATTACCACTATTTTTTTTGGCTCTTAGTTTTGATTTTTTTTCTCCTCTTAAAATTTTTATTTTTCTCTTTATTCTTTTTCTCTTTTCTTTCTCTCTTTCTTTCTCTCTCGCTCACTTGCTGTCCCACATTGTTCTTCATCTCCTTTTGTGTTCCTGTTCTTGCCCTAATTCGGATTTCTTCTTTATTTCTCTTTTCTTTTCTCTCCTTCTCTCGCCTGTGCCCTCTGGCCTCACTGCTAACCTTCCCCTATCCCTCTATCTACCTATTCCTCTTCCCCAACTCCTTCTAACTCCCCATCAAGAAGGGTAAAGTTGGGCCGGGGATTTAGCTCAGTGGTTTTGCCGCCTGCTGCGCGAGCGCAAGGACCTGCATTCGACCCCCGGTACCAAAAAAAAAAAAAAAGGGTAAAGCTGCTATATTGAAGACTTTATTCACTACAAACATATGTTGGATTGGTTCTTGATCTTGATTTAATTCAAACAGTTAAAGGTGATAGGTTAATAACCATTACAAATTATCATTTACTAAAAGGTACTTGATGCTATTGTGTTGCTGATTGTATCACTTAGGCTAAGTTGCTGCGATTGATCTAATCAGTTGTCCTTCCTGGTATAATGAAAATGAGATAGCCTCAGAGCCATTAGAGATTCAAAACCTAAAA